AGAAAGAAAGAAAGAAAGAAAGAAAGAAAGGAAGGAAGGAAGGAAGGAAGGAAGGAAGGAAGGAAGGAAGGAAGGAAGGAAGGAAGCAAGCAAGCAAGCAAGCAAGCAAGCAAGCAAGCAAGCAAGCAAGCAAGCAAGCAACAAGCAATCCTTTTGTCCCATTTTGGTTTGAAAGTGTGACCAACCTCAATATTTGAAAATTCAGAAAGCCAGGTAAGAAATTTTAAAATGAGGTTTCTTGAGCATCTTACCTCAGAAGCAGTAGCTGGGATATTAACATTGCTTGCCTGCCCGTTCATTAGGTCCATGCTTTTCTCATCAGTCCCTGATCTATGTAAACAGCAGCGGACTGATTACTTCATGTCCAAGGCCACAAATACATTATTCCTAGAAAAAAGAAAACAGAAAAATTAGAATGTATGTCTTCCTTGGAGTATACAAAAACAAATCCATACTCACTACAAATTTCTAAATACAATTTTATTTTAGCTAAGTGACTAAACCTAGGTCGAAGAAAACTTTGTAGGCTATTTTCAAACTATTAGAAACACCAAATGAGCAGTTACTGTTATATTGTTTATAAGTGAAGTAGAAATACTATTTTTTCAAGTGGAAATTGTGAAACAACAACAACAAAGAAAAAACATGAACAACTAAATAACAAGTATAAAAGGCACATGGTAAGATAGCATATGCTGTACACAGTAAATTTATTTTTTTGGGGGGTCCAGTCGTGGGGCCTGAACTCTTGGCCCGAATGCTGTCCCTCAGCTCTTCAGCTCAAGGCTAGTGCTCTACCACTTGAGCCACAGCGCCACTTCCGGCTTTTTTGTTTTTGCTTATGTGGTGCTGAGAAATCGAACCCAGGGGCCTCATGCAGGCAAGGCAAGCACTCTACCATTGAGCCACCTTCCCAGCCCAACAGTAAATTCTTTAAGGTCCAAATAACACCTCAAAACCAATTACTAGTGGCCAAGTTTACCAGCATATCATAAATATTTAAAAGCTTACTGGACATGTTACAAAAATACCACAATATATACCCATATGTATAGGGCTATAAGATTTATTGACTAGCCTCAATCTATTGTCTCACTGATTTTCCTAAGTACCAATAAAAGTAATTAGAGCGCTTGCTCACACCTGTAAATCCTAGCTACTCAGGAGGCTGAGATCTGGGGATTGTGGTTCAAAGCCAGCCCAAACAGAAATGTCCATGGGACTCTTATTTCTTTTTCTTTTTTTTGGCGGGGGTGGGGAGGTGGGGTGGGGAGTCCGGTCGTGGGGCCTGAACTCTGGGCCTGGGCGATGTCCCTCAGCTCTTCAGCTCAAGGCTAGCACTCTACCACTTGAGCCACAGCACCACTTCTGGCTTTTTTCTTTTTGTTTATGTGGTGCTGAAGAATCGAACCCAGGGCCTCAGGCATGCAAGGCAAGCGCTCTACCACTGAGCCAACTTCCCAGCCCCCCTATTTCTAATAGACTACTTTAAAAAAAGCCAGAAGTAGCACTGGTGCTCAAGTGGTAGAACAGTAGCACTGAGCAAAAGAAGTTCAGGGACAACACCTAGGCCCAGGGTTCAAACAAAAAAAAAAAAAAGTAGGGCTCGGAAGGTGGCTCAGTGGTAGAGTGCTTCCCTGGCATGCATGAGGTTCAATTCCTCAGAACCACATAAGCAGAAAAAGCTGGAGGTGGCACTGTGGCTCAAGTGGTAGAGCGCTAGCCTTGAGCTGAAGAGCTGAGGAACAATGCCAGGCCCAGAGTTCAAGCCCCATGACCAACAAAAATAAAATAAGATAAAATAATTAGTAATATTATACATATGACATATTAACTGGAGAAACAGATTGTTTGGCAATAAACAGTGGTTAAATGAGAAGCCAGTTCAGAACTCAAGCTATCTAAAAACCTAGTCAAATATTCTTTTTACAACCTGCATTTCTTCCTTCCTACTTTATAATCACAATCTCTACTTTTTAATAATTTTCCACAAATTAGCTTCCCATACAGCCCTAACTTACCTTTCAAACATATATTTCCTCTCTGTAAAATGATAGAGGTGAACAAAATTTAAAATCCCCTTTTCAGTATTAGCAATTTCTACACTGCTTTTACAAGAGAAATTTTTTTTTTTTTTTGGATCCAGTCGTGGGGCCTGAACTCTAGGTCTGGGCGCTGTCCCTCAGCTCTTCAGCTCAAGGTTAGTGCTCTACCACTTGAGCCACAGCGCCACTTCTGGCTTTTTTCTTACGTGGTGCTGAGGAATCGAACCCAGGGCCTCGAGCATGCAAGGCAAGCGCTCTACCACTGAGCCACCTTCCCAGCCCTACAAGAGAAATTTTAAGTTTACACATTTTTTTGGTGGGGGGGGATGAACTTGGGGCCTGGGTGCTGTCTCTGAGCAAAGTGCTTTACCATGTGAGCCACAGCTACACTTTTAGCTTTTTGGTGGGTAACTAGAGATTAAGAATCTTACAAACAAATGGGGCAATGTCATTCTTTCTGATGGAGGCATAGAATTCCATTGTGTATATATACCACATTTTCTTGATCCATTCATCTAATGAGGAGCATCTGGGTTGGTTCCATATCTTAGCTATGGTAAATAATGCTGCAATAAACATAGTTGTGGTGCCCCATTTGCTAGGAAATGGAAAAACTTGGAAAAAATTATATTAAGTGAAGTAAGCCAGGCCCAAAGAAACATAGGTCCCATGGTTTCCCTTATTTGCAATA